GTACTTACAATTTTGCTGTTACAAAATTGAATTTCAATTTTAAATGAAACACGATGTCTGCTGACAATTGCATACTTGCAATTTATATGCGCAAGCTTCTTGAAAGTATGGAATTTCGTTTGATTAAATTAGATATGTGGTGAAATTAATTACGAATAAATTAAAATCACGTCTTACTGATACTTAAAAGTGTTTCTCAGCCTTTTACGAGAAGGAAACAAGTTTCCTCCAAATGAATTATTTTCCGAATTTTTGTAATAATTGGAAAATCGAAAGTCGTAATACCGTACTTCCAATTACCAACCGATTCATTATCAAATCCAATTTACGAAATAATTACCGTCAAGATTAATTTCATTAAAGAATTGAAATGAAATGAAAATAGAGAAACTCTTCGCTTTTATAAAACTGTAGAATACAACAACCATTTCCATTAAATGGTTTTTCTTTAAAGAGAATATAATGAATTTTATTAATGCCGCATGCTTGCTTATACTCATTAAAGATCGTTGTTTGTTATAAGAAAAATCTTGATTTTCCTCGATATTTAAAGTAGACGTCAAATAATTCCAATCAAATAAATAGAAATACACGATGTGGCATGCGGAATAATTCTTGTTTTAATGTGGAAAAACGTAAATAATAATAATACGATCGATACAAGGTTAAATGAAGCACGAAAAGTAGAGAGTATGTAGTCGTGAATCAATTATCCGCGTAAAATTGATTTGTTGACATCGCTTTATATCCTTCCCCCTTCCCACTTGCGTCAGCGTGGACTCGTAAATTAACGAACCGCCACTCGGAGTAATCAAGGCTCGCTCATAGCACGTGCTCGGCAATCGTTGAAGCCGATTATAACGCGCGTCGACAGAAATGCAAAACCGCGAAGCGAGCATTTCAAATCTATTCGATCGGTGACTGTTAATGAAGGCCTTTTCTCCTCCTCCCCATCCTCCTTCTCCTCCTCTGTCAACCAATAGCACCGTCACCACCACTGTCTCGCCCCCACGGCACTATTTAATTTGCGGGCTCGTATCCGAAGGCTGCTGTCTTAATTGTCGGCCGATTGCACATAATTCCAAGTCGATTGTCAATGCACTATCATGGAGGATGTGCAGGACGAAGGGGATGAAGAGTATTCGTTAAAAAAACTTTGGGCTCTGGCGCCATTTCGATCTCCGTCGTATTCGTAAGGGTTTCTCAGCTACTCGCGGATCCGCTTATCTCTCTTGCACGAGCATTTGCGTTAGTCGTTTACGTAAATCTGATACGTTTGCTTCCGCTCCTGCTCTTATTAATTATCGAAGCCCGTCGTTCGGACCACGTGCTTTTTGCCTTTCTTCTTCACTTTTTTACGATTTGTCCCGCGCGTACATAAATTTAAATACGATTTTCGATTAAAGGGGGAGTATAAAAGACCGATGATATTATACCTATTAAAACTGTACTCGAGTTTATGCGACAGTTGTGGAGGCTGTTTACATTGGAAATTAAATTAGGATGATCTTAATTTTTGCTATGTGGAAATTATGAAAATCTATGTACTCATACGAACGAGAATAACTTTTACAGGCAAGAGTCTCTCTATTTAACAAGCTTTGCACGTATCGCGTATTATTATATTTATTATAAAGAATCGTTATTAATTAAGAATACATGTAAAAGCATCGATAGGATGGGGAATATCGCATACGTAATATTTTTTCAACTTTCTAATTTATTTATGAATTTATGGATTTGGTATTGTTAAATGCTCAGCACAGTGAGGTTTAATTTAAATTTATTCTATGAATTCAATGTAATGGAATATCATTGTAAAGATTACTGACCCGTGTATTTGTCTCTATTTATATTGTTGCATTAACATTTTAAGATACAAATTTTGATAATATAATAAATTATTCATTAGACTAAATAAACTGCAATTATAAGATTCTTTTAAGAAGTAAATATTAGTAGCCAATGACAAAGTTTATATCAGTTTATATCATAGAAAAATATTACTAAATTCAAACAAATAATTTTAAGAAATCATTTACATATGGTTTTCGATTAGCAATGCACGTATATTTTACAGCTTGGAAACATTCCAAAATGAATATATCTTTGTACGTTCCACTTTTTATAGAGAAAAATTAGTAATATTAAGAAAAGTGATGTAACGTCGACAAATTAAAATAAGTGAGTGAATGTACACGACCTTTACTAAATGTATTTAAATATAGTATATATAATACAATTGTAATATAATAATAATTGATATATAAAATTAAAATAATCACTTTGACAATTGTAAAACTTAACTTAAAATTTTCTACAATTATTTAGGAATTAAAAGTTTATTGAATTTATTGTGATAAATAAAATTCTATATAAATTTGATTTTAATAACATGTAATATAATCATTAAATTGAAATAAATTCTGTTTTCTTTCAAATTCCATGTACGAACTG